ATCTGTGAGACTATAAATATTAAGGATGAACAAAGACTTTCCCTGCGAGCAGGGAGGCCGGCGGCAGAACAGGTAGGCTGAGGGCCTAGCAGAGTAGACAGCCAGCAGCGGGGGGTGAAAGCGAGGTTTGAGCGGTAGCCTTCGGACGCTTGAGTCCTAACTGCACTTCCTGTAATTAGGAATCCACACTGGGCAGGCACTTCACCTCCTCTACCCTTCCATTTCCTTGCTTCTGAAGTTTACATAATCACTTTCCAGGTTGTACTGTTGTCGGTACTGAATGAAACAATCCGGTAAAGCATTTTGCACAATGCTTTGCAAATAGAAAGCACTCAGTTTTTGTTTAAAGGAGGTCGAGTGAGAGGGCAGCTTCCAAGCAAATAAAATATATAAGAAGCATTAGCAGTTCTCTATTGCCACAACATTGTGACATGATGAACATGAAAAATAGAGCAACTTAATGCAAGAAGTATTTGTCTAGCTCATTTGACTATGAGTAACGTTTAGCTGGGCTTGACTAGAAATACCTTCTGAGTTCCGCTAGCTGCCTCACGTCTGGAAATTGGTTCTGGTAGTTGGGGTGTGCGAGTCAACAGATCTCTTACGGTCCCAGGTGAGACAACTGGAGTTCCATGTGCCAGTTTGCTGGCATGCTGCCTCTGGCCCATCCTCACAGCAGGGCGAGAGAGCGAGAGAGAGAGAGAGAGAGAGAGAGAGAGAGAGAGAGAGAGAGAGAGAGAGAGAGAAACTGCGCAAGCACTCTTCCAGCCCTCTACTTGCATTGTATCCACTAACAAATAGCCAAAGGTGCATGGCAAACTGGGAATCAACCTGCAGTAATTCACCTCTTCACAGGAGAAGCTGCAGATCCACAGCAGAGGGCTTGCACACAGGGAAGGATGAAAAGGGGCCACTAATGCCATCAACTCCACCACGAAAGGTTTGACTCGGGAAAGAAGAGAAAGGATTTGAGAATTGTTCATAGTCTTACCGCTGTTTGTAAGTCCCAACTCAGGATTTGTGAAATCAAAGTAATCCAGAAATCTAACATGAATAATGAAGACCCACACAGCAAAAAAGACCTGAACAGGACACTATAAGGGGGTATAAATTTATGGAAAACTTTGGGTCGGGAACCTCAAGCAGTGTGCAGTAACCTGATGATAAACACGCTGTATGATAATGGAGTTGCCAGATCTAAAAAAGCTAGAAGATTGCTTATTGAATTCAGAGACCATCAAACTAAATTATTTTAGAAAATTAAGCCTAAAGTGTTTGTCTAATGAGGAATCATTTTCACGCCTGGCGCAAATATTTGTTGCCCATTTATTCTGTTCAAAACGGATGCGCAACAAATACGTTCTTAATGGAATTTGGTCCCTCAGGTTAATTGAATCTTCCAGACAGGCACGAGGAGTATTCATAACAGAAGTGATCGTGTCAGTGCCTCCTCTGGCATCTTCCCCTTTACTAAATGTCAGTCTTGCTCAATATTTTATCCTTGAGCCCTCACCTGCCAGTGCTGTGGTCTTCAGTGACGTCACTTAGGCGAAGGTTGGCACTGCAAGCAGCTGACTTCCAGGGCCAGGTCTGCAGCTTTCTTGCCGAGCCAGGCTCCCAGTCCACACAGCATCTCCTTCTCCCAAGGGAGAATAAGCACCGTGGAGTCATGGAAGACACTCCCGGCTGTGCCTTTTTAAGATCATGATTATTAACCACTGTCAGCTCCATCACGATGTAAATACACTCTTCTCACTCCTGTATCCCGAGCTTTCAGAACAGTTCCTAGCACACCGAAGATAGTGAATAAACATTTGCCAGTGGGCTAAGGGTCAGTTATGCATGAAGCAGTGTTCCAAGTGCTAATGTATACAGACAGATCGTGTCTCACCTTAGCACTGTGATTTGTGCACTGCTCCATTCCCATTTTGCAGATAAAGTAGTGTCTGACAAGAACTGTTGATTTCTGATGAGAAAAGCCAGTAGCCCCTGATATTTTATATACATAAGTATCTTGGGCAAGAAAGGAATTGCATCACGCTGGTTTTAAAACAGTTACATCTAACAATGCAGTGAATTCTCACAATTTTTCTCTCATATCCTCAGCTTTGCAAGGAAATGTTTCAACAGTGCTGGCTAGGATGGCTCCATATCTTATTCATGATAATCACTGAATAACTCATGTTTTTCAGGAGGCATACAGGTACAATCTCTGCTGCACACCGCTATAAACAACCCTGTATCATCACCCCGTTACCGTTATTTTACACACACTGAAATGATAGTAATGGGGTGGTGATGCAGGGTTCACACACACTTGTGTGTACATAAATGTACCATATGTACAAAGACAGAGAGACCGAGGTAGAGAGAAAACAATTCACCATCTCCCAAATGCCAAAAAATGAAATATGGACCTCTCCTCAGAAATTGTGCTACAGAGGCTGGGCATAGTGCCACACGCTTATAAACCCAGGATTCTGGGAAATTTAGGCAGGAGGACTGGAAGTCCAGCCTAGTCTAGGTAATCAAGTGACTTAGTCAAACTCTGTCTCAAATTAAAAAACAAAGAGGGCTGGTGTTGTGGGTCACTGTGAGCACCCTGAGTTCAATCCCCAGTACCACAAAAAAGAAACAAATGGCGCTAAACAGAGAGAAAACACCACACCCTGACCTGCTGTGCTTTGGTCCTTGGAAGTCTGGAGAAGCAGGGTTCGGTGGAGAAACCCAAAGAGAATCCACAGACCCCAGGTCCTATCCTTCCCCACGCTGTCCCCGAAAATAAACAGAAGAGAAACAGTTCGCCCTCACACATCTCTCCTTGGGACTGTGCCCCGCCAGGAGAGCAGGTGGTAATACAAATGCTGCCTGAGGGAACCGAGGCGATTAGTCCTCTCCCAGGTAACCCTGTGATGTCCCACTTCCAGAGGTGCAGGACTGGGAGCTTTGGATGCGGAGAACTGGACACCTTTAGAAAGCAGAGAAGCACCAGAGGGAGAGCCGGCTTGCGGGGCTGCACGGGGCAGAGTGAAGAGGCCTGGCTCACAGATGAGCGACTTCAGGTTCTGGCTCCTTACTTCCCCTGGGGCGAGACCCCCTCTGGAACAGCCCTTTTATATAGTTGCGTTCATCCCCCAACTCTGCCCAGCATCAAGAGCCCATATCCGCCCCCGGTGTCCTTTACAGAGCGGCTGCTCAGAAATATTCCGACTGAATTGCTGCCTGGGGAAGAGCAGAAAAGAAAGGCAGAAGGAGCCACAGGCGGCAGGGTCATCGGGGACCCACTTCCCCTACTGGGCAGCAAAGGGCCTAGGAGTGACCACCACCCGTGTGACCTGCGTCCCTTTGTGTCACCATCTGTGGGTGCCTTGGCCCTGGGGCACACTACCACGCCAGGTGAAATGCCTACACTGGAAGGCAGACCACACAGTGCAGATATTTGGGAGGGCCTTCAGGTACCTGACAAGTATGTGACTGGGGATAGGAGGGATACAGCTGTACCAGCAGTTTGTACTGTGAATGGAAGTACTGTATGAACACCTTCTATACCCGGCACTGTTCTAGGCTCTAGCAATGCCATAAGGAACCAAAGAAAACGAGCAAAACCCCTGCCCAGGTGGAGCGACATTCTAGAGAGCGAGCCAGACCAAAAACAGGCAGCAGGAAAGTCTGATACGTCAAATACTGGTGCACACATACCGTGAGGACACAGACGAAGGGTAAAGGTAGAAAAGACGAGCAGAAATGATTCCTTGAGGCGCATTTCTGAGCAAACTGTGAGAATAATCCATGCAGAGGACAGCACTGCGGGCTGAGGGAACAGCAAGGGCACAGTCCCTGAAGGGACCAGGCTTAGGCTGTGAGAGGGACCACAAGGAAGGCGTGACTCTTACCGATGAGCAAGACTGGTGGTAGGAAATGACGTCACAGAGGTAGCTGAGGAGTGGGGACTGTGAACCACCGAGGGCTGGATGGTATTAAGTGTGAGCATGAGCGAGGGCAAGTGAAGAGGAGACAGGCGTGGTTTGCTGTGTTTTGCAGGCCGGCCTTGGCTGTTCTGGAAAGAAAACAGGCCGGGTTTGGGGAGAAGGCGAAAACCTAGCTAAGACTCTGTCCCAGTTGTCAGGACGAGAACCAGCGCTGCCCATACATACTAGAGTGTTTGGGGTGAAACATGAGATTATCCAGTTCCAGATTTTCAGTGAAGACAGACTGATAAGTTAGAGATTGACTACAAGAGAAATGAAAGTGGTGAAGTGTAAGTTGGCTTGTGGTCTGAACGATTTCTTGAGATTAGGAAGGATACTCTGGGCGGGGCTGGGGGGACAGGAATCAAGATTTCCCCCGGGACACAGTAAGTTGGGCGACCCATCACATTTATCACATTAAAACGCCCAGATGCAGTTCTACATAGGAGTATTTCAGCTCTTCTTTGCATTTGAAAGGAAATGATGCTACTGACAATCATTATGATCCATAGCTGGGAAAAAAACCAATGTGTGGCCAAAAACCATTTCCACACTCTGCACCTACGTGAGGACTGTCCTTTCGTACAGAAGCTTTTTGTCTTTATACCCAGCTATTACGCAAACAGTTGGCCTGGGGCTTGGGGCACGAAGGTGCTTTCTTTCCACCCCACACACCTATAACTATTGATGTGATGGTATTTGTCAAGGCACTTGGCACCTCTTTAAGACCGTATCCTTGAACAAATATAGGAGAAGAACTGTAGACCCTTTTAAAAAAAAGCGCAGGTCTCACACCTAGTGATTGACAACTTGCCTACAGCAGGAGTGTGAATTATTTCATCCATTCCAGCTGACTTCCCTCCAAATCTGCTTTTTCACGCGGATGTGAGAACACCTTAAAGTAAAAAACCTCGGGACTTCAGCCCTGATTTTCAAAATCAGACTTTCAAACACAGTGAACTCCTTAAATTGAATTTAAAATAATTGCCTAAGCAAAGCTTTCTTTTTTCATTTAAGACTATTTATTTCACAACCATCTGCCTGTGCTCCCACAGTCATCTAAGTATTAAGATGCTTTTAACCAAGTTCGGTTCACTAACCAAGGTATCGTGTTTCCTTGCGAATGCTTGGTTCAGGGGACTGCAGGCCTGAAACACCATGATGATCGTGCATTTCTGAGCAGACAGGTCTTTTGTAATGTGCAGGTGGACAGCAGAGAAGTCTGGAACGGAATGATAAGATAGGATAGGATAAAGATAGGTAGAAAGGAGACAAGGAAAATCAGAATTTTAAAATTATACTTTTAAGAAAGCTGCAGCTTCAGGATGTGAAGTTACCTAAGGTTACAATGCCTTTTTCCCTTCCAGGCAACTCAGAAAAAGGGAAGGAAGGAAGAAAATGAAGGAAGGAAGGAAGGAAGGAAGGAAGGAAGGAAGGAAGCAAGGAAGCAAGGAAGGAAGGAAATGAAGGAAGGAAGGAAGAAAGGAAGGAAGGAAGGAAGGAAGGAAAGAAGGAAGGGAAAGAAAGACGAAGGAAGGAAGGGAAGGCAGGAGGGAGAGAGGAAGGAAGGATGGAAAGAAAGATATCCTAAGGACTTAGAGACACAATAAGCCTATAAATTGAGCCTGTACTTTCCATCTATAAATGGAATCTGTACTTTTCGTCCAATACTGTAGATTCCCAAATCCTACAGACTTTTCTGTCCCTGAGGAAACAGCCCGATGAGTGGCCACATCTCTAAACTGTAAATGCATGCAAATGTTTGCATTCTAGGTAGCCCACCAAACAGGTGAACTGGCACACAGAAGCACACACCCTAGCTCCCTTGTCTTGAGGACACCCCTATGGCACATATAAACTCCTGAGCCCAGACCATAATGAGCCTCACTCTTTGAGCACCCACACTTCCCTCTGAGTGTATGCTTCTTTCTGTCCAATAAATCTTTCTCTACCTCTCTCATTGCAATTCTTTCCTATGATATAAGTCTGCAAACCTAAAACTTGTAGGGTGAGCCAATGCCCCCAGCTTGTCTTCGGGGAAGCTGCTGAGATCTGGTGAAGTGACACCTCGATTACCAGGGTCTGGTATTTGCACAACCCTGGTTACCTAAAGACAAAAACACCCACTCTGTACTACTCTACATCATGGAACTTGAAGTTCTATCTATTGTAAGGTGCACCGTTATTTTATATATTCCTAAAAAAGAAAAACTGCGGCAAATTAAACTACAACCCAGTACCTTGTGGTGATTCTGTCCCACAGGCAAACCCATCACAACAGTCTTCCATAGCTTTGCCATTCTCCCGTGTAGAGCACTTTGTTCATGCTTCCTGCCTTTGCTGAGGTCCTTGGCATGTACTGTCGTTGTTTTCATGTATTGTAGTACCAGAGCATAAGGTGGTTTCAATATTTGTGGATATCTTCATTCAGTTCCACAATGCACATGATCATTGCAGTTTAATATATATATCAGTTTCTTTCTAATATGTATGGTTTTTCTCTAATGAAGGTATTATTTGCTTCACAAACATCAAACTACCTTCTCCCTGTCCTATTTATACCTTTCTAATTACTGAGCTCATTTCACACTGAATATGATCATGTAATACGATCATATAATAGTGATCATGTAGCACAGTCAATGCTAATGTAATGATTTCGGTTTAAATTACACTCAGCGCATGCACAGGACGGAGCGTGTGTATAGGCTATGCACCACGTCACCGCACTTACCAGCACCGGTGACCGTAAGACACATTACCATTTTAGACAGGAGGAAATGAGGGAAAACATATGCTTTGGAATCAGTGAAGTACGGGACAAGCAGGGGCACCGTGGAAGTGCACAAATGAACACAGAAGAGTTTAGGTCTTGAGTTAATTTATTTTTCTGCTTAGGAAAAAAAACTCCCATTCTATTTTTAGATCCATTGATTTAAGATGATGCTGTGCCCATGTATGAAGGGAGACCTGCGATCTGTCGGGCTGTGGCAATGTAAATGAAGTCACGCCAGGAACCCGACTTCTCCATCGTGGTCGTTGTCAGGCGTCCCCACCACCAACTTCTCCTGCTGCGGCCCCTCATTCATCCCTTGCTTTAAAATCACTGTGCACGTAGCAAAATCATCAAAGCCACCCTTGGGGAGTGGAGGTGCTGGCCTGTGTGCTTGGAATACTCAAAGCAAAGCTCAGGCGGGAGGTTACCGCAGCTGAGAGGACAGGAGAACTACTGTCAGCGTCGACAGGCTGGTATGTCCAGATGAGCCTGTGTGGCTACCCGGCCCAACCACGGTCTCAGCCTAACCAGAACACAAAGACTTGCAAGCTGATGCTTCCAGACGCCCAGCCATGGGCACTTGCTTATTGTCCGCCCTGCTCGCCTCTCCACGCCTTCCTGACCTGTCCTTGCTCTCCTTCTAGGCTCGGTGTCTTCTGATTCTTTGCAGACCTCAAACACGCTCCCTCCTCAGGGCCATGAGGGTCAGTGTGGCCACTTTATGTTCATCTTCGTTTCTCCTTCCGCATCACCTCAGCTTGCCTGTCACCTCCTCAGGTCAAAGCCTCGTCACCACCCGAACGAAAATAGTGCCTCCCACCCTCCGTCACATCACCCTGGATAGATGTTTGTCTGCTGTGTGTATCTTTGTCTTTATAGCCCTAAATCTCTCACTAATCCATCCACTTGTTAATGCTCCCAGCCCCTCACCTCTGCATCCTCTCCACCTGGAATATACAGAAGATGGCCGTGTACAAATGAACACACAACTGACTTCCTGTCTCATCAGTAGTTTTTTTGGGGGGAGAGGTTCTTCATTTGTTTACTATTGGCTTCATACCTTCCCTTGATCACAAGACTTCCCATTTATATGATGCTGTGACTTCTTAGTTTGAAGTGTTCTGTGCACTTTGCCTAAAAGCTGACCGACAGCTGTAGACTCCCAGCTCTACTCTGCTGTTTTCCATGACCCTCTGTCACACGCAGGGCCTTGCTGATGAACTCAGTTCTTATCTCTTCCTGTTGCTGCCTTCTGTGGCGCAGAGCTCCGGGTGACCTGTTACTGATGAACTGCACCAGCAGCAGAGTGTGTGTGTGTGTGTGTGTGTGTGTGTGTGTGTGTATGCATGAGCATGTGTGTTGGGGTCGGGGGGTGACAAAGCAGCTGCTAACCCATTGTCCTTCCCTTTCACACCTGCCCATGCGGACGCAGCACCCCAAGGCTTTCTCCCCTGGAGCTGGGCACCTCTCCAAAACATGGTACTTCTTTAGGGCCTGGGCAAACTGGCTGCTCAAGCTTCCCTGACTAGTGGGGCTCACTGCAAGAATGCCTTTTTTCTTAAGCATATATTGATTTCTACTGTGAGGAAGAAGGATCCAAAAAACATCAAATAGCTCCTGACTTGTAAAGGTAATAAGCAATGATAGTCAAGCTCAAGGGTCCCTTTTCCCCTCTGATTATTACCATCAGAGTATGTGTTTGTGCATGTGTGTGCACACATGGGTGTGTATGTGTGTACAAGCATGCACACACACAGGGGAGTTAAAGCAATAATGATCTAAACTACTTTTTTAATTGATTTGAGGTTTTCAGAGTAACCAGAAGAGAAATTTTTTATAAAGATTTGGCTTCTGCACTTTGGAGTCTGAATAGCATACATTAAATATTTATATACCAACAGTACACACAGATATAAACTTTCATGTGCTAACTGTCCTTATATTTTCCACAAAGATTTACATATTAAAAAGTGGATAATAAGAGCCAAACATGGTGGCACATGCCTGTAATTCTAACACTCAAGAGCCTGAGACAAAGGACTGCCTCAAGTTTGAGACCACCCTGGCCTACATAGTGAGTTCAAGGCCACCCTGAACTCACATAGGGAGGCCCTGTCTCAAAACACAGACCAAAGAAGTGCATAATAATTGCTCGGTTGAAGTGAGAGTGAATGGTGTTGAAAAAAGCAAGTATTGATAAGAGCCCAGATCAGTTCTTAATCCTCACTATGCATAAAAATCACTTCAGTAGCCTTTTAAAAATACCAGTGTGCAGGCCCACCTCCAGATATCTCTATTCAATTAGTTGAACTGGGTTCTAGGCTTGTATTTTTCACAATACTATCAGGTGATTATAATGTAAAATGAGAGTTTATTTTTTTTTTTTTTTTTTT